GGGCAGGCTGGGGGGGGCGTCCTCTCCCGTGGGCAGGTCAGGGGGGGGCGTCCTCTCCCGTGGGCAGGTCAGGGGGGGCGTCCTCTCCCGTGGGCAGGTCAGGGGGGGCGTCCTCTCCCGTGGTCAGGTCAGGGGGGGTCGTCCTCTCCCTCTCCCATGGGCAGGCCGGGGGGGCGTCCTCTCCCATGGGGACAGGAAGCACCCCTCCTCCCTGTGACGCGGTGGTGAGGAGGGCAGCTCCTGCTCCGGCCAAGCTCCAGCCCAGCTTCATTGGGTCACTCAGACGGCGGGCCATGAGGGACACGAGGGATGCAGGGCCTGACACACACAGAGCCTTTGCGTGATTTCCAAAAACGCCATAGGCAAGCTCTTTGCTGTGTGAGTCGCCGGGGTCTCCTGGGGTGTTAAGCGACACTGCTGTGGTGCTTCTTCATGGCATCCCATCCTCCTGCCCCCGCCGCCCGCGCTGGGTTCCGGCACCACCCCACCCCACACGTGCTGGACAGAGCCCCCGCTGTCCTGCGGGACGGGCTGAGCGGGTCTTTGCAGCCACGGCAGGGCGAGGCCCGGCCTGCAGAGGGAGAAAGCTTCTGCTTGAAAGAAAGAAGCGCTAGTCAGAATGGCCAGAATATGTGGTGAGGAAAGGGGTCCCCGGGAAGTGGGAAGTCGCCTTGCGCAGGGCTCAGAGCGGGGTGCTGCAGACCTGCCTTCTCCTCACACCTGGAGGCGCTTGGACTGTGCACACAATGGCTATCGTTCTGTCATGTTAACATCTCTTTTGTTGTTGTTGTTTTGTGTTCATCCTGGAGCTTGAACTCGGGGTCTGGGCGCTGTCCCTGAGCTTTTTACTCAAGGCTAGTGCTCCACCACTTGAGCCACAGCTCCACTTCCAGTCTTTGGTGGTTAGTTGAAGATAAGAGTCAAAAGAACTTTCCTGCCTGGCCTGGCTTTCAACTGTGATCCTCAGATCTCCACTTCCTGAATGGCTGGGATTATAGACATGAGACACTGCTGTCATTTTTCAAAAATGTTTTAGAGAAAACCATTTACTGCTGGGAGACTTTGGGGGTTCTTGCTCTGCCCTCGCCCCTCGCCAGCCTCCAGGTCCGTGCCTCGGTGCTTCAGGCAGGCCTGGCCCAGCACAGTCGCTGAGATGCAGGCATCAGAGTAGAGAAAGCACAGCGAGAGGACCAGGCAGGCGCCGCCCACACCCGCTGATGTGGGCTGGGACGTTCGGGGTGCGCTCTGCAGAAATGCGGCCTGTGCTGCTGGAGCCGCGTGGCAGGGCTGCAGCCGAGCGCGTTGCAGGGCTGGGCAGGAAGGAGGTGGTGTTTCTGCTCATCCTGACTTGAGTGATGGCAGTCTATACTGTATCGATAACTTCCTTTTGTAGCTGGGATTATAGGCATGCTGTCTGTGTTTTGAGTAAGGGTCTCACTGCTTTGCCCAGGCTGGCCTCAAACCATGCACAATCCTCCCATCTCTGCCTCCTGTGTAGCTAGGATTACAGGTATGCGCCACTATGCCAGGCCCTAGTATATAAATGTCTAAACGTTGTTGTCACAGCTGCGCACCATGCTGACTTTAGAAACTGAAGGAGGTGGAGGGTGGTTTTCGGACCCGTGCTTTTTCTCTCCTCACTTTCAAGCAAGGCAGGAGGAGATTCAAAGAAAATAAACGCTGCTGGGCCGGATTCCCGGCTTTTCCTTCCCAAGGTTGTCCCAGTGAGCATCCACAACTCCCAGCCCTCAGGGCTCCCCCTGGAGGGCCAGGGGGAGAGGACGGGGAAGTTAGGTTGCTGAAGAGTGCAAAACCCCACCAAGCCAAGGGGACGTCCAGCTCGCGCAATCGTGTTCTCAGAGCACACCGCAGGGCCTGTCAGGGGTCTGGGACGCGCCACTGCTTCCAGACGGGCAAGCTCTGGAAAATGCACACGGAGAGCAGCAGGTGTGAGCCGTCCCGGCCTCTGGTGTGAGCCATGCTGACCCCTGGTATGCTG